CTGGGCCACGTTACCCACACTTTATACTCGTGCTCGAAGTTACACAGCCAGGCTGTGGGTATCCTCGGCTCCTGGGCAGGACCCCCACTAGTGCTGGTTGCTGCACGAGACCCCCCTCTTCCTAAAGAGGGGGATTAGATTTGGGATATACCTGATATCTACGAGGACTTCCACCACCTGGGAGTGCTCCTCATTTTATACACTACATATTCCGTCCGGCCCTCTCTCCCGGGAACCCGGGCTTTAAAAGGTCCCGTTCCTGGCAATCCCTATACCGATCTTCTCTTCTGTCTCTCTCATCCAGACCTACCTTGGGTTGATCTGTGGCGGGGGCTCGAGAACCGACCAATGCCAACGAAGAGCCAAGAGACCTCTGAAAGCCGGACAAGCCCCATAACATCTTCAGAACAGGCTGAAAAGATGGCCTATCGCAACACACCCTTGAGAGTCCTCACCCAAAACTGCAGAGGCCTGAATACACTTGAACGCAGGACCTACCTACTGAGGGAACTAAAGAAAAAACATATCACAGTGGCTGTGACGAAGTGCCCTTTCGCCACTTGGTCCTGTAGAGGCCTGCTTGCCAGCCTCCTCCCCTGTGACTATGACTCTTTCATTTATTTGGCTTTAAAGCCCCTAGTCTAGCTTCAGACAGACTATTTATGTAGGCTGCTGTAGCGGAGGGCCACGAGCTGCCCTGAGACTTACATTATGTTTAAACTGTATTCGTCTATTTGGTAAATGTCTTTGCAACATTGTTGCGAATGGGTAATTGACAAGGGAAGTAGCCGTCCTTTGTTCTCGGGGGTGGCCACCATTCGACAAACGAACACGTGGCGGTGGCCATTTTAAAACTCCCGAACAGCGGTGTTTTGCCGTCGAGTGTCTGGAACTCAAATCGGACACTCGACTAGGTGAACACCGCTGAATCCTCCACAAGCCCGGTCCGTTCGGTTCCAAACTTCCGAACGGCCCCTCGTTCGGTACATAGAAAGAACTGAACGAGGGGATTCAGGCGAACCCTCCCTAGCCTCTATAGCTAGAGGCTTTCGTGCAATTTGTTCCCTTATTCCAGGACCGGCCGCAGGGCCCATTCGCATGGAACCGCATTCGGCTATCTCAGTCAGTGCGGTCGGTCATTTTATTCCCTCCATACATTTCCCGAACCCCTGGTCTGATCTGGGTGATTTTTGGATATGTTGTTCACCCAGATCAGGGCTATCAGGGGATGTAGGATTTAAAGGGGTACCCCTACATTTAGGGGTACATCCAGAAATGGGGGGGAATTGCTAGACTGGATAAGGGGATTATGATGCAGGCTGAGGGGAGGAGATGTGTGGGAGGTTACCAGGACAGGATTGACTACTGTACTAATGATTGTAAATCCCTCCCTTGCATGGGAGCATGCTTTAAAAGGACAGTGTGGATTAAAAGATTTCAGTTCTGCTCCTGAAACTGTGTGTCGTCCAGTTATTGGGATTGCTGTGGGATATTGCTGTGTTATTTTGCCTGCTGGAGACCTTGCCTATGGATTTACAATTTACTTGTTCCTGAGCCTCACTTGGATTATAAGCGGAGATACCTGGGGATTATTGCATCTCCTCTACAGCTGCTTTATTTATCTTATGTTTTAGTCACCCTGTACCCATTATAGGTGCAGGGTGTGTGTAATGTAATTGTTTATAGTGTGTGTGTGTGTACTGTGAAATGTATTGCCTGCTCTCCTGTACTGCTGAGGTTTGCTACCAACTAGGTGGGTTTGACTATGGAGCTTGTCTAGTGCCCTCTGTTGGTAGCAACAGCAATATGCACTACCTGAATTGCAAGACTGGTTCATTTGCATATTCGGGTAGATTTGCATATTGCTAATTCTGCAGGCAGGTGAGATATTTAATGTTAAATATTGTCTCCCCCCACCCCTTTAAAAATGTGCCATTGTGTTGTGATAAGTCACTGTGTGTTGCCTGCTATGGTTTGACTGTTTTTGATTTTATTGAGGTTTCACAACAATGTTATTGTGGTGACCCTATGGGCTGGTCCCAAGGGAAATAAAGGTTTAGACAGTTCTTCTTGATCCCTCTAAACGTAGCCTTGTCTCGTTATTGGAGGGAGCTGTTATAATCACACTGGCGATTGCTATGCTCTGCATTCTCCTCTGAGCTTGAATTACTTAGCTCTTTTAAGAGCTTGTTCCTGACACGCTCTCCTTGGAGGAGGGGTCTTCACCACACAGTCCTGGATGCTGGAGGTTCATACAGGGTGGAAGGAAGAGTTCTTTCCCACACAGTCCTCGAGGACAGAAGCTGATCCAGGGTGGAAGGAAGACGGCGAGACTCCAGTCAAGATACAGCGGTTGCGGAGTCTGCGGTGGTTGTGGTGTCTGCTGCACTGCTTAGAAACATAGAAACATAGAATGTGACGGCAGATAAGAACCATTCGGCCCATCTAGTCTGCCCAATTTTCTAAATACTTTCATTAGTCCCTAGCCTTATCTTATAGTTAGGATAGCCTTATGCCTATCCCACGCATGCTTAAACTCCTTTACTGTGTTAACCTCTACCACTTCAGCTGGAAGGCTATTCCATGCATCCACTACCCTCCCAGTAAAGTAATACTTCCTGATATTATTTTTAAACCTTTGTCCCTTTAATTTAAGACTATGTCCTCTTGTTGTGGTAGTTTTTCTTCTTTTAAATATAGTCTCCTCCTTTACTGTGTTGATTCCCTTTATGTATTTAAATGTTTCTATCATATCCCCCTGTCTCGTCTTTCCTCCAAGCTATACATGTTAAGATCCTTTAACCTTTCCTGGTAAGTTTTAATCCATGAACCAGTTTAGTAGCCCTTCTCTGAACCCTCTCTAAGGTATCAATATCCTTCTGAAGATACGGTCTCCAGTACTGTGTACAATACTCCAAGTGAGGTCTCACTAGTGTTCTGTATAATGGCATGAGCACTTCCCTCTTTCTACTGCTAATACCTCTCCCTATACAACCAAGCATTCTGCTAGCATTTCCTGCCGCTCTATTACATTGTCTGCCTACCTTTAAGTCATCAGAAATAATCACCCCTAAATCCCTTTCCTCATATGTTGAGGTTAGGACTATCAAATATTCTGTACTCTGCCCTTGGGTTTTTACGCCCAAGATGCATTATCTTGCACTTATCCACATTAAATGTCAGTTGCCACAATTCTGACCATTTTCTAGTTTACCTAAATCATTTGTCATTTGGCTTATCCCTCCTGGAACATCAACCCTGTTACATATCTTAATATCATCAGCAAAAAGACAAACCTTACCATCAAGACCTTCTGCAATATCACTAATAAAAATATTAAAGAGAATGGGTCCAAGTACAGATCCCTGAGGTACCGAATATATTCCATTAACTACAACCCTCTGTTGCCTGTCACTCAGCCACTGCCTTACTCATTCAACAATATTGGAATCCAAACTTAAAGATTGCAGTTTATTGATAAGCCTTCTATGTGCAACAGTGTCAAAAGTCTTACTGAAATCTAGGTAAGCAATGTCTACTGCACCACCCTGATCTATAAT